CAAACCTTGGAAAAACAATAAGCACATTTCATCTTGATAATTGGAGGGCCAAAAACACACAAAGCAGCTTTCTGTGGTAAAAATGTGCAACATGATTATACTCCAATATATCTCGGCGTGAAACTGGACTGCACCCTCACCTTCCATGATCACTTTGAGAAGGTAGCTGCAAAGATTAAAACCAAGAGCCACCATAATCCAGAAACTAGCAGGTACAAGATGGAGTGCATTGGCATCAGTCTTGCAAACATCTGCAATAGCACTTGTATATTCGGTAGCTGAATACTGTGTAGCGGTATAGAGCAGTGACTTGTGGACACCCAACTAAATACAGTAATGCAGTGCATCCTGGGAATCCTTAAGTTGACTCCAACACCATGGCTACCTATTCTAACATCACTCCCCTGCCAATACACCAAACTGCTGCAACATTCCACGAAGCTCAGCGAATCCATGAAAACAGACATCTTCCTATCCGCCAAGCCCTTGACAAGGTCCAAACCCCTCTCTCCCTTGCCCCCCCCCCCATGTCTTAAGTCCCACAAGCCTTTCTGGAAACATTTGTTTAGCCTCATGCAATCAGGCTACGACCAGAAGGAGGCTTGGCAAGCAGATTGGACTAAACAAGACTCAAAAAATAAGCATTCTGTGCTGGATCCCATGCAGAAGGTTCCTGGGTTTGACTTTTCACGGTCATCTTGGTCGACTCTGAACCGAATTCAAACCAACCATGGTAGATGCGGATATCTAATGCACAAATGGAAAATCAAGGACTCCCTGGTGTGCAAGTGTGGTTCCCCACAACAGACCATCGAACATATCCCTACCTACTGCCCAATTTATAAATATGAAGAAGGCATTACTTCAATAAATTCTGCTACTCCTGATGTAGCCATTTGGCTTGATCAACTTCAGGTGAAATTGTAACTTCACCTGAAGTTCACCAGCCATTCGAAAGAAAAAAAAGAGGAAGTTGTACACACTAGTATAGGAAACAATTATAAACAAAGTACTTTTGGCAATTGCATCAGGTAGCTTCAGCACTGTCCAGACAGCTGCTAGCGTTAGAGTTGACACAGGTGTGCCAATTCAGGCCCCATTTCCCTGCTTGTCCCCCAGTGTGGTTGTCCCTCCCACAGTAGATGTCCCCACTATAACCACAACTGTGCTATTAATTGTCCATTAACAGCACTGTCAAGCATACTCCTACTGCTAAAACATCACAGATGAGCTAGAACTTTAGGAGTGGTACTGACACAGAACTGTGCTGATAAACATTGCCTGGATTTTTATGTAGGATTGGTTTTTGATGGTTTTTTTTAAACTATTTTCTTTGGCAGATTGATTTAATATTACACTATGCTTAAATGTTCTAATATTGTTTGCTCTGTTAATACACCAATGTATAAATACTACAACACTCCCCAGGATGTGCATCCATTGGCCAAGATACACACCCTTATATAATCGTTCTTTGATTACCATAAAACTAACATTTCAATAAGAGCTTTGTTACTAATACAAATAAGCTTGAATTTTGTGTTTCAGGGTAAGCAAGCTAAGGACAAGACGACAAATTTTTCAAAAAAAATAATCATGCAAGGAAAGAAGAAAGAGAAAATGAAAAAAGCCAGTTCACTTCCTGATATTTCCATTCTTGAAAAGTTTATGAAAACCTATGAAAGGCATTGTGCCTTTTCCCAAAGCTCTGTCAGTAGCATGATCAAACGGAGCTTAAGACAATGCATAGAAAATGAAACTATTCTTACGAAGGTAAATATATGTTCTACATAATAATTTAAGGTGACATTGAAGGGGTGGAAAAGAACTGCTTTGATTCTGTAACTTTTCTCTATTATGCTTGTAAAGTTTTATGTCAAGAGCACTCGGAGCTCTAGTGTGCGTTCTTTGGACTGGAGTTTTAAGACTGAAATAAATAACAAATACCAATTGAATTATATAGTGACCCAGCAAGGCTGGACTATGCTAACTGTGAGGAGAAGCAGAGGCAAACCAAGACAAAAGGGATAATTTTACATTTTTAGAACTTTAGAAGGGAAAACCCCCAAATTGTACCAGGATCGTAAATAATATAGACCATGACCAAAGATATATTACTTATTAAAATAAACTATAGGTTACCAACTCATTACCTTTTGTGAGCTTGTACACATTGTGCAGTTAGAACCAAATGCATTGTTATTAATAAGAGCAAATGATATACTGTGTCACTTCAGAGAAAAATAAACTTTTTTCCTCTCCTTGGCTGTAAGTCCAACTCCATTCTTGCGGTCCTGTTTTTTGCTTCTTTGGCTTGAAATGCTCCTGTAACTGTACCTTTTTCCACTGAGATTATCCACAAGTGGGGTTTCTTACTCTAATAGACAAGTGAGGGCCCACTAGGTGATGTCTACACTTCAAAATTAGGTCGAATTTATAGAAGGCGTTTTTTTAGAAATTGTTTTTATATAGTCTATTGTGTGTGTCCCCACACAAAAAGGTCCAAGTGCATTAACTCGGCGGAGTGCTTCCACAGTACTGGGGCTATCATCGACTTCCAGAGTGTTGCACTGTGGGTGGCTATCCCACTGTTCCCGCAGTCTCTGCCGCCCATTGGAATTCTGGGTTGAGATCCCAATGCCTGATGGGGCAAAAAACATTGTTGCAGGTGGTTCTGGGTACATGTCGTCAGGCCCGCCCTCCCTCCCTCCATGAAAGCAATGGCAGACAATCATTTTGCGACTTTTTCCTGAATTACCTATGCAGACACCATACCACGGCAAGCATGGAGCCTGCTCACCTCACTGTCACCCTATGTCTCCTGGGTGCTGGCAGACGCGGTACTGCATTGCTACACAGCAGCAGCAACCCATTGCCTTGTGGCAGCAGACGGTGCAATAGGCCTGATCACCATCGTCATTGTGTCCAAGTTGCTCCTGGCCACCTTGGTAAGGTTGGCCAGGAGCGCCTGGGCAGACATGGGCACAGGAACTAAATTAGGAGTGACTCGACCAGATCATTCTCTTTAGTCCTGCTGGCAGCCCTATTGTACCATCTTATAGCGAGCAGGCAGGAGATGAGGATGGCTAGTAGTCCTATTGCACCATCTTCTGCCGAGCAGCGAGGAGATGTGGATGGCTAGCAGTCCTACTGCACCATCTGCTGCCAGCCAAAGATGTAAAAGATAGATGGAGTGGATCAAAACAAGAAATAGACCAGATTTGTTTTGTATTAATTTGCTCCCCCTCTCTCCCTACCTCCCTCCCTGAAATCAACGGCCAACAATTGTTTCGGTGAGGTCTGTCAGGGGCATCTTGAAAAGTTTAATGGAGATTCAGTCCTGCCTGAAATACCGGGGGGAGGGATAGCTCAGTGGGTTGAGCATTGGCCTGCTAAACCCAGGGTTTTGACTTCAACCCTTGAGGAGGCCATTCTGTGTGACAGTTGTTTTTCTTTCTCCTTGATGTAAAGCCATTCCCTGTAAAGCCAACCCTGTAAGCCATGTCATCAGTCACCCCTTCCTCCGTCAGAGTAACGGCAGACAATCGTTCCGCGCCTTTTTTCTGTGCAGACACCATACCGCAGCAAGCATGGAGCCCACTTAGATCACTTTGGCAATTAGGAGCACATTAAACACCATGCACGTTATCCAGCAGTATATGCAGAACCAGAACCTGGCAAAGCGAAACCGGGCAAGTCGGCGATGTCAGCACGGTGACGAGAGTGATGAGGACATGGACACAGACTTCTCTCAAAGCACGGGCCCTGGCAATGTGGTCATCATGGTGCTAATGGGGCAGGTTCATGCGGTGGAATGCCAATTCTGGGCCTGGGAAACAAGCACAGACTGGTGGGACTGCACAGTGTTGCAGGTCTGGGACAATTCCTAGTGGCTGTGAAACTTTCGCATGCATAAGGGCACTTACATGGAACTTTGTGACTTGCTTTCCCTTGCCCTGAGGTGCAAGAATACCAAGATGAGAGCAGCCCTCACAGTTGAGAAGCGAGTGGCAATAGCCCTGTGGAAGCTTGCAACACCAGACAGCTAACGGTCAGTCGGGAATCAGTTTGGAGTGGGCAGATCTGCTGTGGGGGCTGCTGTGATGCAAGTAGCCAACGCAATCAAAGATCTGCTGATATCAAGGGTAGTGACCCTGGGAAATGTGCAGGTCATATTGGATGGCTTTGCTGCAATGGGATTCCCTAACTGGAGTGGAGCCATAGATGGAACCCATATCCCTATCTTGGCACCGGAGCACCAAGCCGGCGAGTACATAAACTGCAAGGGGTACTTTTCAATAGTGCTGCAAGCACTGGTGGATCACAAGGGACGTTTCACCAACATCAACGTGGGATGGCCAGGAAAGGTACATGACGCTCGCATTTTCATGAACTCTGGTCTGTTTCAAAAGCTGCAGGAAAGGACTTTATTCCCAGACCAGAAAATAACCTTTGGGGATGTTGAAATGCCTATAGTTATCCTTGGGGACCCAGTCTACCCCTTAATGTCATGGCTCATGAAGCCATACACAGGCAGCCTGGACAGTAGTCAGGAGCTGTGCAAGTGCAGAATAGTGGTAGAATGTGCATTTGGACATTTAAAAGCACGCGGTGCAGTTTACTGACTCGGTAGACCTCAGCGAAACCAATATTCCCACTGTTGTTACTTCTTGCTGTGTGCTCCACAATATCTGTGAGAGTAATGGGGAGATGTTTATGGCGAGGAGGGAGGTTCCCGACTACGTGCAAATCGCCTGGTCGCTGGTTACGCGCAGCCAGACACCAGGGCAGTTAAAAGAGCAAAGGAGGGCACGGTGTGCATCAGAGAAGCTTTGAAAACCAGTTTCATGACTGGCCAGACTACGGTGTGAAAGTTCTGTTTGTTTCTCCTTAATGAAACCCCCACCCTCTTGGTTCATTCTACTTCCCTGTAAGCTAACCACCCTCCCCGCCTCCCTTCAATCACCACTTGCAGAGGCAATAAAGTCATTGTTGCTTCACATTCATGCATTCTTTATTCATTCATCACACAAATAGGGGGATAACTACCAAGGTAGCCCAAGAGGGTTGGTGGAAGAGAGAAGCACCAGGAGGGGTGGCGGAGGAGGGAAGGACAAGGCCACACAGCACTTTAAAAGTTTAAAACTTGTTGAATGCCAGCCTTCTGTTGCTGGGGCAATCCTCTGGGGTGGAGTGGCTGGGTGGCCGGAGGCCCCCCCACCACGTTCTTGGGCGTCTGGGTGAGGAGGCTATGGAACCTGGGGAGGAGGGCGGTTGTTACACAGGGGCTGTAGCGGCAGTCTGTGCTCCTGCTGCCTTTCCCGCAGCTCAACCATACACTGGAGCATATCGGTTTGATCCTCCAGCAGCCTCAGCTTTAAATCCTGCCTCCTCTCATCATGCTGCCGCCACCTTTCAGCTTCAGTCCTCTCTTCAGCCCGCCACCTCTCCTCCCGGTCATTTTGTGCTTTCCTGCACTCTGACATTGTCTGCCTCGCACATTCGTCTTTGCTCTGTCAGTGTGGAAGGACAGCATGAGCTCAGAGAACATTTCATCACGAGTGCGTTTTTTTCGCCTTCTAATCTTCACTAGCTTCTGGGAAGGAAAAGATCCTGTGATCCTTGAAACACATGCAGCTGACGGAGAGAGAAAAAGGGACAGTGGTATTTAAAAAGACATTTTATAGAACAATGGGTACACTTTCACGGTAAACCTTGCTGTTAAGATTACGTACATAGCACATGTGCTTTCGTTACAAGGTCGCATTTTGCCTCCCCCCAGCACATGGCTAGCCTCTCCCCCCTCCCCGTTGCTAACAGCGGGAAACATTTCTGTTCAGCCACAGGCAAACAGCCCAGCAGGAAGGGGCACCTCTGAATGTCCCCTGTAGAAAAGCACCCTATTTCAACCAGGTGACCATGAATGATATCACTCTCCTGAGGATAACACAGAGAGATAAAGAACGGATGTTGTTTGAATGCCAGCAAACATACACTGCAATGCTTTGTTGTACAATGATTCCCGACTACGTGCTACTGGCCTGGAGTGGTAAAGTGTCCTACCATGGTGGATGGAATAAGGCTGCCCTCCCCAGAAACCTTTTGCAAAGGCTTTGAGAGTATATCCAGGAGAGCCTGAATGCCAGGGCAAATTAATCATTAAACACGTTTGTTTTTAAACCATGGATACTATTTTAAAAGGTACACTCACCAGAGGTCCCTTCTACACCTGCCGGGTCCAGGAGGCAGCCTTGGGTGGGTTCGGGGGGTACTGGCTCCAGGTCCAGGGTGAGAAACAGTTCCTGGCTGTCAGGAAAACCAGTTTCTCTGCTTGCTTGCTGTGAGCTATCTACAACCTCATCATCATCATCATCATCATCATCATCTTCTTCTTCTTCTTCGTCTCCAAAACCTGCTTCTGTGTTGCCTCCATCTCCACTGAAGGAGTCAAACACGGCTGGGGTAGTGGTGGCTGAACCCCCTAAAATGGCATGCAGCTCATCATAGAAGCGGCATGTTTGGGGCTCTGACCCAGAGCGGCTGTTCGCCTCTCTGGTTTTCTGGTAGGCTTGCCTCAGCTCCTTAAGTTTCACGCAGCACTGCTTTGGATCCCTGTTATGGTCTCTGTCCTTCATGCCCTGGGAGATTTTGACAAAGGTTTTGGCATTTCGAAAACTGGAACGGAGTTCTGATAGCACGGATTCCTCTCCCCATACAGCGATCAGATCCCGTACCTCCCATTCAGTCCATGCTGGAGCTCTTTTGCGATTCTGAGACTCCATCATGGTCACCTCTGCTGATGAGCTCTGCATGGTCACCTGCAGCTTGCCACGCTGGCCAAACAGGAAATGAAATTCAAAAGTTCGCGGGCCTTTTCCTGTCTACCTGGGCAGTGCATCTGAGTTGAGAGTGCTGTCCAGAGCAGTCACAATGGAGCACTCTGGGATAGCTCCCAGACGCCAATACCATCTGATTGCGTCCACAGTACCCCAAATTTGACCCGGCAAGGCCAATTTCAGCACTAATCCCCTTGTTGGGGGTGGAGTAAGGAAATCGATTTTAAGAGTCCTTTAAGTCGAAAAAAGGGCTTCGTCGTGTGGACGGGTACAGGGTTAAGTCAATTTAACGCTGCTAAATTCGACCTCAACTCCTAGTGTAGACCAGGGCTTAGACGCTTTGAACATCTGTTGAAGGAATACAGTTCAAACAGTCATTCTCTTTGTTCATACACTTCTTCGGTCCTTTGCGGGTGGGTTTCTCATTTACTGATATCAGGATCTGTTTTCATCTAACACAGCTTTATGATCAATTCCCTTTTTCACCAATTACATATCCTTTCAGGCTTTTTTTTCCTGGATACTCTAATAGTACCTGCTCACATACCCAGGTTTATTTTTTCTGCTTCTCCTAACGTGAAACCTTTCCTATTTTCCTTCTCTCCTCCCTCTCACTTGCCAGTCCCTTACTTTTATTCTCCTGTTCTTTTATTTTATCATGTCACCTCCTACCAAGGCTCCAGGTCATCCGTTAGCTCAGCATTTTGATTCTTCTTCTTCAACAGCTTTTATTCTAACTGCCCTTTCAGGTGCATTCCAAGTCCCCTCCCCAGCTCGAGCTGCCCTCTTGCTGGCTGTCTCTGCCTGAGACAGCATTCTGTGCTCCTGCATCGCAGCTATGGCAGGTACTAGTCCCAGGGTGAGGAGGACTACAATTACACTATATTCTTACTGTTAATATGTTCTAGACATTTACATAGATTTCCTCTCCAATGACCGTAGATACATTCCCAAACTGGGTATCTAAACTTAGCCACTCGTATAAAAGTGGCCTAATTTTCAGAGGTGCTGGCTGAGCATCTGTAGCTTCCAATGAATCCTAACTTTAGAAGATTAAACATGTATTTAGGTATAATGTCTGTCTAACCGTAGGCACTTAATTTGAAAATTTTGATTATAATCCTGAAAAGAAACCTGCAAATGCATCCCCTGACTTCCAAATGTGCCATAATTAGCTATTATACACTTGCATGGTCCAGATAACCAGGTTAAGAGGAGCATAGAGCACATTAACTTAAAATGTTCTTGTCCTTTTTATCTCAGAAATGCCTGGGGGGATGCGGGGGGAGATTGGCTTTTTTGTTGTTGTTTTGTTTTTTTTACAGTTCCATAAGATATAAATCTAGGATATAAAATAATTCTTTCCAGGCTGATCTACTGGGTCAGATGACACAGTGGTAAAAATGCCTACATCTTGTTTATTCTATTCATTATGGGTGCAAAGGCTGGAGCTGCACCAATATAGAAAATAATGTGCTAAATGTCCCTTTTGCCCTGATTATTTAAGGAATTCTGCACAATTTTTTATATATTGATATGCAGAGCATCTTTGACTTTTGTTAACGTTTATAGATCACCATTAATGTATAGTACATTTAGGTAACGGTACGTTTGGGTTCATAAAATATAATGTACATTTCTTTCTGTTTTGATTACACCAAATTGTAATTAAGTTTTGGTTTTTTTAGTTTGTGCTCACAAACTCTCAGAATTCCCAGCCAGTCTTACTCACACCTCTATTAAGGACAATTAGAGATGAACAATATATGTTGGGAAAGGAATTCTGTTTCTGGGGAATTCAGCTAAACAATCAAGACATTGCAAACCTTGTAAGTAAAATAAAATACATAATATAATATAAAAAGTAGACATTTAAAGAGAAGCTGACTGAAAGTAAAAGGATTTTGGTTTTTGTTCTTTTATTTTTGCAGTAATATATGTAGTGGTGGGTAAATTGGAAATACCAGTACCTAGCTAGAATGATTGTATATGTAAATGAAAAAGTGTAGGAAGACAATGGATAATTGTGTAGAGAAATGGCCAGTGCAAATTACACCAGATATACAAAAACAAGTTTTTTTAAAAAAAACTATCCTGGATTTTACATTTCCACAAACCTAGACCAGAAGGCCTATTGAGACAATGAACAAACACATTCTGAGAGACAAAGATTTTGATTGTGGGGGTAGTACGATTTCATGCCTGAAGAGTTTAATTCTTTCATATGTACTCAAATCCAGTCGGATATCTTTTCTAATGTTTGGTCTTGATAACACCTAGCAGGTGTTTCTAGCACACTCAGACTTGGTGAGACGTATATATCAGCTCTGACAAAAACTGAAGCAATTTTGAAAATCTAACTTACTTCTCCCCATTTATACTGTATTTTATTTACAGCATATCTGAGTGTACAATGAAACAAACTAGCCAGTTTCACTTTGGTTTATAATCAATTTCTAGTCTGTTTCACTTTCAGATTCTCATGCATAGGGCCCTACCAAATTCATGGCCATGAAAAACTGGTCATGGACTATGAAATCTGGTCTCCCCCCATGAAATCTGGTCTTTTGTGTGCTTTTACCCTATACTATACAGATTTCACAGGGGAGACCAGCGTTTCGCAAATTGGGGGTCCTGATTCAAAAGGGAGTTGCGGGGGGGGGGGTCACAAGGTTATTTGGGCGGGGGGGTCGCAGCATTGCCACCCTTACTTCTGAGTTGCCTTCAGAGCTGGGTGGCCAGATAGTGGCAGCTGCTGGCCAGGTGCCCAGCTCTGAAAGCAGGGCCCCACCAGTAGCAGCGCAGAATGGTGGTAATACCTTACTATGGCACTGTAATGGGGTCACGACTCACCACCACTGGTGCCTCCTGTTGGTTGCTCCAGGAATTAGCTCTTGTCAGCTGCAGGGCGCCTTCTGCACTTGCTGTCTCAACCGTTGTCTTCTCTGCTGATTTGGGAACCGCCTTGCTCCCTGCTGGCGGTGTCCGCTTCAGGACGCTGCCCTCCGGCAGCACCCACTACTCCATTCTCACCCACTTCCGGGGGGTGGGGGGAGGGAATGACAGTTCTTCGGCTTGCACCTGCCTCAGAGGCCAACCACAACCCCAAAGTCTAGCGCTCAGCTCAGGGCAAGTTGCAGTCAGTCTGTCTCGGCCACACTCCTCTGTGGCCAGATGCAGTGTAACGGGGTTAAGGGGGGGGAACCCAGGCCCACCTGCTACTCTGGGTCCTGACCAAGGGACCCTCTAGCAGCAGCCTCTCTCTGCCCTCCTTCGCTCCTCTCTTGTCCACCTATCTTCCCTGGGCCACTTCCTCTTTGGCCCAATGCACCTTCCCGACCCTTTTTAGCAGGGGCCGCAGCCTGGCAGGTAACTGGGCCAGACCTCTCCTCTGCTCCCCTGAGCCTGCCCAGCACTGCTCTGTCCAAGGTGCTACCTCCTTACCTCAGGAGCCAGTCCTCCTCCCTTGCTAATCAGGGAGAGACTCCTTCTCCTTTGCTAGGCAGCCTTCATATAGGGCCCAGTCCAGCCCTGATTGGCTGCCTCTTCCTTAGCCCTGACTGGCTCTCCACAGGCCTTTGCTGACTGGCTGCTAGTCTGCGCAGCCTCTCTGGCCTGTTCCAGCCCTTTTTCTCATGGAATGGAGCAGCTGCCCCACTACAGCCATCCTTACTTCTGCGCTGCTGCCTTTCAGAACTGGGTGGCCAGAGAATGGTGGCTGCTTACTGAGGGCCCAGCTCTGCAGGCAGCAGCACAGAAGTAAGGGTGGCAATACCATACCATGCCATCCTTACTTCTGTGCTGCTGCTGGCGGCAGTTCTAGGCAATGCTTTTAGAGCGGAATGGATGTACCAGCTTTCCCTTTTGTACTCTAGAAATAACTTATGTGCCGATAGATGCATGGTCCATGGAGCGACTTGGAGCAGCTTTCCCTTACAGCAACTTGAACTCCATTGTTCTAGATTATACCAAGTAAGAGAAAGAAGAGCTATGTATCCACAGCAGTGAGTGAGTGTGAGTCTGAACAGTGCTTGTTATGTTCAGTGTACCCTCAAAGTCAGAACAGTTCTGATATGAAGTTTCTCCTCTGAAGTTTATAAACAATGGTTCCCAAGTTCCCCATCCCCATACTAATGAAAATCTATTCCTGATTGCGGATAAATCCCCAGGCTGAATTTCAGTTACCCAAAATGTCTTTTTTTTCCCACCTGAATCCATAATTCAGATAAATGTAGTTTCCCTGTACTAATTCATTATAATTTCCATCTAAGAACTGGATTTTACAAAGAATGAACTATAGTTATCATGTCCAATACCAGGAAACTTGCCCCTGAAATGGTCTTCCTTTCCAGCTAAGCATTTTTTAATGTGCCCATGATCTGACTACTGAGGTGCTATATAGAAAAGCACACTCTTGTCCCAGACCCTTGTTTACACCACTGTTAAATGGGATTACACCTGTTGCCTATGTCTCCAGAAGCAACACTGCTGGGTCAGTCTGCAGTCACTGCTGCTGAAGGAAGGCTTGCACAAAGACAAAGAGAGTTATTTTGAGCCCTCAGTGTGTCAAAATTGAGGCTCAGCCTGATCCCTGGAGTAGGAAATCCTACAGTTGAGTCTTTACACTAAGTGTGCCCTGTTTCCAGCCTCCAGGAGTCACCCTGGGGCTGTTTGCTGCAGCATCTCTGTTGAATGCAGCTGTCATGGTGAGTGGTGAAGACAGAGGCAGTCTCTGACATAGGTAGGCCCTAACCCACTTTGGATTTTAAAGATAAGAACCATGATCTGAAGCAGATACAGAATTGGATAAGAGCTAGTGCAGCGCCTAAAGCACAAGTTTAAGGTATATTTGTTGGTCTGCTTGAGCCCTAATAGTTCGGCTAGTGTACATTGAAATGAAGCTTCCATGACGCTTTCACAGTCAGTCACAGGTACAGTGCACTGCAGTAACCTAGCCTCAAGGTAATGAAAGCATGGGCCAGTGTGGCTATGTCTGCATTTGAAAGTAAAAGGCAGGCCAGATGAAGAGGAAAAAGGCATTTATTGGCAGAGCTCAGGAACAGCTGGAGTCAGCTCAGTAAAAACTCTTATCCAACAAGAGGGAGGTTTATGACAAGGTGGTAGTTGCTGCGGTCTTTTGTTCTAAGTGACCGTTTGTTGAACACAGGCTGGACTATTGCATGTTTCAGGATGCAAAAAGGTATTCTCTTTGAAGGTGACATTTATAGTCTTGGTCAGCAGATAGATCTAAATAATCTATTGTCTTTTACAGGTTTGGAGATAAAGGAATCAACGGCCTTGTTTCTGGGTTAGAGGGAAACAGAAAACTTCTAACTCTCAGCTTATGC